GCATGCTGGACCCAGCAAGAGGCAGCTAGTTACCCAGCACACACAGATGTTCTATTCCCATGACTGCCTTGCCAGCCTGATCTACAGAGAGATCTACAGATCCAGGACAGCTAGGGCTACACAGAAAAACCCTGTCTTGAGAAACAAGGGGAAAAAAATTTTTTTCTTTTGAGACAGGGTCTGACATCTAACTCTTGCTAGCCTGGAACTCACTATGTAGACCAGGATGGCCTGCCTCTGCTTCCCATATGCTGGGAATAAAGATGCTTTGTGTCATCAACAGGGCTCTGTGACCGATGCTGAAATAAAGGACAGTTATCCTTTGCTGACTGAGGGGGACTGATTCTAAGCCTCCCACTGGGAGGTACCAGAATACCTAGATCCTCACACCCCATGTCCTACACAGAACATACACACACTACACCCAGGTCCTTACACCCCTTATGTCCTATGCTTAGAACATACATACACTACACCCAGGTCCTCACTCCCCCATGTCATACGCAGAACACACACACACTACACCTGGATCCTCACACCCCCATGTCCTACGCTTAGAACACACACACACTACACCATCAACTTTAAATCCTCTCTACATTGCTTACAGTTCCTAAAACAATATTCACACCATGTGGACAGTTGTTAAATTGTATTGTTTAGAGAATAATGACAAGAAAAAAACTTTACATATTAAATACAGATGGAACTTGTTTTTGAGACAGTCTCATGTAGCCCAGGCTGCCCTCAAACTCACAAGGTACCTGAGGCTGGACTTTAACTCTTTAGTCTCCTGCCTCCACATTCAAGTGATAGGATTGCCGGTATGAACCTCCTCTCCTGGCCCCAGATGCTTTTACAGTTTTTACTATTTTTAATTGTTTGTGTGTGTGTGTGTGTGTGTGTGTGTGTGTGTATTTGTGGTTATGTGTATATGAGTGCAGGTGCCCATGGAGACCAGAGGCAATAAATCTCCTTGGAGTTGGAGTTATAGGTGTTGTGAGCCAGCTGATGTGGGTGCTGGGAACCAAACTCAGCTCCTTGGCAAGAGCACTGCATACTCTCAATGACTGAGTCATTCATCTCCCCAGCCCCCTCAGATACCCTTTTTTAAGGAATATTTTCAATCCAGACGATTGAATCTATGGATGTGGAACATGAAGATTTGCCGGACCACAACCGAGAAGATGAAAAGATTGGTAAAATCAAGTTTCTACAGAACACTGGGCTCCACTGAGTACCCAACATCTATTTGATGAAACTCGGCAATGAGGCCCTCCTGGAGTTCACAGAGAGGGAGCCTGAAACCTATATGGAAAGAGAGTTGATGTGTTCAGAGATGAGATGGGCTATCTGTTGCATTTTCTGAAAGGCTGGGAAAATGACAGAAGTGGGAGGAACCACTCATGCAGAGACACAGAGGCGGAGGAAGGTGGCTGCCCGAAAATACAAAGGCCAGCATTCTGTCAGGACCATGTTCACAAGGATCCAAGACAACCTGCCAGCTGGCGGGCAGTCAGGGAAGACTTTGATTCCATGGACAGACATAATCAGATCCACATTTTAGAAAATTAATGCCATGGCTATGTCACTGAGAAAACACCATCAATCAAAAGGGAGATTATAGCACCGCATAGATAGGAGATCTCACCCCTCCTCATTGCTTGATAAGGTGACTCTTGCCTGTATTCACACATTTAAAGTACAAATTACTATTTTAGGGGCTGGAGAGATGACTCAGTGGCTTGCTGCTCTTGTAGAGAACCAGAGTGCAGTTCTTAGCACCCCTATAAGGCAGCTCACAACTGCCTGTAACTCTAGCTCCAGGGGGTCTAAAGCCCTCTTCTGGCCTGTGCATCTACATGCACACACAGAGGAGCACATGCCTTCACACACACACAAAAGATAAATGTTAAAAAGATTTTTTCATATATACATTACAATACTCATGGTCAAATTGTCATATTATCACAGGAAGTTAAGGAACATTTCTTTCTTCAACAGGGACAAGTTGTAATGGTCTGTACTGTCCCTTTAAGAGACAAGTCCCTCCCTCTTTCCCCCTTCTGCCTCTCCCTGCTCTTCTCCCTTCTTCCATCTCCCCTTTCCCCTTCCCTTCCATAACCCACTAAATAAATATCCAACCTCACTCTGCATGGTGTGCTTATCCATCTGTCTTTCATCTGCCGCGGCTGCAGCTTATGGGACTGGTTGCCCAGCCAAGGTCTCTCATGTGCCACCATGCTCCCTGACTAGGACCCTCTGGCCCTTATGGCCCACAGGCCACCTGGGGGCTCTCGGCCTGGGACTGGCTGCCTTCGTGGCCCACAGTGGTCTCGACTCTGCTGCCCACAGCAGCCACTCGGGGAACAGTTTTATTTTATTTTAATTTATTACACATTTTATTTTAACCATTACACAAACCATTATTATTACAAATGTAACAATAATGAAGTTTTCAGTCTGCATTAATTTTCCAATTTTCCTTTTTAATTAAAAATATTTTTTGAGACAGGTCTCACTACGTAGCCTCCGGCTAACCTAGAACTCATTATAGAAATCAGGATAGCCTGAAACTCAAAGAGATCCACCTGCTTCTGTCTCCCACTTGCTAGGATGAAAGGCTTCAGCTACCACACCCAGATCTTTCTTTTAATAATTTACAAATGTCTTATTCAAAATGAGACTCTCCCCATTAATGTGACCCATGACCCTAACTTTATTAGCGGTGTATTCCCCCATGACATCACTGTACATACCACCACCCTCTGCTCCTTGACATGGGGAACTTGAGTGTCTCTACCTGGCATCTGGCAGCCTGGTAGAGACTGAAGCCGAGGGTAGATATCACCAGCAGGCTTACAAACCAACAAAAGAGGCAGCCTCAGATAAGAGTGGGCAGAAATAAGTCAGCTCTCCACTGCCAGGAGTGCATGTGTGTACACACGTGTGTGTGATTGAACCTGTACTCATCTGCTCTCCCTCATCTGTTAGAAGCCTCTAAGTAGACTCTGGGTGGACAGAACATTTCCGGGTGGCTCTCGTGAAAGCAGCTCCCTTCTTATCTCTTCTCCCAGTTCCTGCTTTCAGTGCTTTCTTCACGGGCAGAGTTCACACCCAGAAACAGCCTTCTGCGTCCCCTTCTAGACCAACAGGATCCCGGGAGCAGACCGCCAGTTGTTGTAGGAAGTTAGCAGACATTTTATCTGGGTTTGTTTGTTTGTTTTTTTTTTGAAGTCCTTTGACCTTGAAGAATCCTTGTATACAAGGATTCTTTGTTTTCTGTGATTTGTAGAATTGTTTTGCTGAAGGGATATTGTAGCCATCCCACACATTGGTCACAAGACACCTCAGGCATACCTGAGGCTCTTGCATTATTGTGTGTTGCAAATGTCACATAATAAGGACTAAAGCCTTGAGGGGGTGTGATGTTGTCCTTTAGTAAGCCGTGTAAATTAGCTTAGGGACCTTAGTATGAGGAAGTACTTTGTGTAACAATCAATAAATAGGCCTTTGTGAGGCTGTTGGGGTTCAGTCCAGCAGAAGAGGCTGGACCTTCCTGCTGCCACACAGGTCTTAAAAGTTCATCTTGGAGTGCCTTCTTCCTTCAGCCGCCCGGCCCCACACGGTGCGCCCCAACGGTTCGTCTTCAGCCCTTCCACTGCAAGGAGGCATGATCCGAGCAGGGGTTCCATAGTAGTTGTAGAATAGATAGTTAAGTTAAAAATGCACCTTCTGGGGCTGGAGAGATGGCTCAGAGGTTAAGAGCACTGGCTGCTCTTCCAGAGGTCCTGAGTTCAATTCCCAGCAAACACATGGTGGCTCACAGCCATCTATAATGAGACCTGGTGCTCTCTTCTGGCATGTAGGCACACATGGAAGGAATGTTGTATACATAATAAGTAAATAAATAAGCCTTTTTAAAAAATGCACCTTCTGGTCTCAAGGATGCAGGACAGCATTTCGGTCAAGCAGCAATGACTCAAACTTGTTTCAGATCAGAATCTTGGGTTCAGGTGCAGTAGCTCCCAATACTTGGGCACCGGAAGCAGCAGGATTTCAGGGTCAAGGGCAGCATATAGTGAGACACTGTCTCATACAAAACCAAACAAATCTAGGGATATGGCTCAGTTGGTAGTAATCCCAGCACTCAGGAGGTAGAGGCAAGAGGATCCGAAGTTCAGCATCACTCCCAGCTACACAGTAAGTTCAAGGCTAGCCTGGGCTACGGAAGACCCACCCGCCAGGGTCCTGTTTATTCTAACTGGACCAATGGACGTTGCTGTTTTAAATGAGAACCCAGGTAACACTGTTGCTCTCGTTCCTTCTGGATGTGACCAGGCTTGTTTTGACATCAGCCTGCCACTTCCTAGTTGTACCAGAGCCCAGAGAAGCTGGATAAGCTGTTCTGTTGGCCGCCATCATCAGCTGTTGTTTTGACACAGTCTCACTAATGTGGCTCTGGCATCCTGGAACTCATTATGTAGACCAGACTGGACTCCAGTTCACAGAGATCCATCTGCCTCTCCCTCATGAGAGCTGGAATTAAAGGTGCGCACCACCACATCCTACTGTCATTATTATTTATTTTTCTGCCCCGACAGATATTCCCCACCCCCAAGAGGTTCACTTTTGGAAGTTTCTCAAAGCAGTGCCCCAATGAATGTGGCCTGGGAGCTCACTGGAAATGCTCCCCGTTGCAGATTGGCTGCACTGAAATCTGGGCTTTATCAAGCTCCCAAGGCTATTCCTTTGTATATTCAAGTTTGAAAAGCATCGCTCCACGTTGTTTTCTTCCTGTCTTTCATTTCAGGAGTCTGTCCCGAAGGTTCCGTGGCCCTGGCCTTCCTGGACTCCCGAGGCAGCTGATTCCCACCCCTCTGAGTGTGAGGCAGTCACTTCAGCGGGTCCGTGCACCTCTGGCTGCTCACTTCAGCGGAATTCTCAAAGGCCCTGAGCTCCTTCAGGGCGCTCTGCACAAGCGTCCGGGGAGGCAGGCGATGGATGTACCTCCTGTTTTGCTTTCTCCTCAGTCACAGACCTGTTCCCACCTGGCAGAAACCTGCATGGAAGGCGAGAGAAGCCCACCCACAGTAGAGCTGGACAGAGACTCCTCTATTCCCAGTGGTCAGCTGACCAGCTCCAGGCTAACTGATTCGGACTGGTTTTGGAATGAGCACATCCAGGCAAAGAGGGCCAGAGTGGAGACTATTGTCCGTGGCATGTGTCTCTCTCCTAGTCCCTTGGTGTCGGGTAGTGCGCGAGCCAGGGAGCGCTCATGCTATCCAGAAAAGGCCCGGGAGCGGAAAAGAAAGCAGAGCCTTCCGATGCACCAGGGTCCCCTGAAATCAGTTCCTGTCTGGGATCGAGCATCCAAGAAGGGGGGGACCCGGGTAAAAGAGCAGCTCCATCTACTGAAACAACAGCTAAGACATCTACAGGAACATGTCCTACAGGTCGCTGAGCCCAGAGCACCTGCGCATGGCCCAGGAGGTACAGAGCAAAGAAGCCCCATGGGGGCAAAGCCGAGGAACAGTTCCCTGCCTAGCCCCCGGACCATGGAGAGCAAACCCCAGCCGAGTTCTAACAAGGACATCTGTGGAGCAGTAAAGCCCAGAATGGTTGAGGTACAACAGCAGGCGGAGGAGGCCATGCTCCGTCCTTCCGGACCACGGGCTTTAGTGGAGACGCTGAGGAAGGAACTAAGCAGGGCCATGTCCCAGGCTGTGGACTCTGTATTACAACAGGTGCTACTGGATCCACCAGACCACCTCTCCCAGCAAGAACCCAGCTGCCTGGGGCTAGCATCAGAGGGCAGAAGCCAGCCTTCACCTTCAGGGAGGAGTGCCTATCAGTCCCCACTTGCTATTGCCACCCTGCCTAGGAGGGTCCAGCCACAAGCTGGGGTGCCCTTGGGTAATTCATCACTGGCTACGCCTCTAGATTCTCCTATGTGTCCTGCCTCTCCGAGAACAGTCCCCAAACCGTATCAGAGTCCCCTGTCAAACTGTCCCTTGACAGCTGTGCCTTCCCACATCTGGGAAAACCAGATTCTTAGCCAGCTTCTGGGTCGTGGGCCCGACGGCCATTGGAGTGGCAGCCCTCCCCAGGACTCGTCCCCGGCCCAAAGCCGTGCCTCCCCGGAGTCTGCCCAGCAGCCTTGGGGGTTGAGCCAGCAGCAGCTCCCCCTGTCGTTCACCCCTGTCCACCTGGAAAGCCGGCCTCTCCTACCCTCTGTGAAGATGGAGCCTGGTGGGCTGCGCGGCATGGCTGACAGGATTCCTTTCTCGTCCATCCACGTATCCTTTACTGCTCATGGGTGCATCATGGTCACCGCCCAGAGAAACAGGAAAACCACAATTTGAGGAGGAAGTGGGGACAGATATCTATGTTATACATAGCTCTGTTTACCCAGTGTCTTTAAAAAACAAAAAACAAAACGAAACTGGGCCTCACTCTTTAGACCAGGCTGGCCTGGAACTCTCTATGTACTCCATCCAGCTGGGCTTGAGAGTCTTGGCAGTTCTCCGCTACTGCCTCTTAAGTGGTGGGATTTTAAGTATGAGCTTCCATGCCTGGCTTCTCAGGGTTTACTTAATATGCTTTTGGCCTTTCTTCCTCATGCCTCAAAGCCTATTAGTTTCATAAGCAAGTGGAAGCCGTATTCCAGGATTTAAATATGATTGGGAGGTTTGCTTTATGACCCAGCAGATTCTGCCATAACTGACTTGTTCCTTTGGGTCTGAAATGGTTTTGTTTGCTGGCTTATGAACTCAAGTGGGCTTCTAAAAATAAGAGAAATGCCCCCACGGAGGAAAGAACTCGATATAATTGGGCTACCAGCTGCCATTCTTCCAGGTGGAAAGGGTTAAAGGAAAAACCTCATCTGAGGCATGACCTCCGTTGACAAACCTCGTAGTCCCTAACACAGAAGGTCTGCAGAGTCCAGAGTGATGATAAACACATAAGGGACCAAGAACTAAGGCGTGAAAGGGTAGCTTCCCTCAGAGAATTGACCCCTCAGATGCAGCTGGAGGATGAGAAGCCCTCAGCTTAAGAGAGGGCTTTCCACTGGGTGGTGGGGGCACACACCTTTAATCCCAGCACTCGGGGCACAGGGGCAGACTGATTGGCTGATCCCTGAGTGTGAGGCCAGCCTCATCTACAGAGCGAATTCTAGGACAGCCAGGGCTACACAGAGAAACCGTGTCTTGGAGAGAGGAGGCGTGGGGGGCGATTGCAGCTATCAGAGACGGAAGACTGAGCATATGAGATAAGATTCCTACTCCTTGGGGAAGCCCAGGCCATCCGAGCTGGCCTGCAGCAATCTGGATCTTACTCTACTATAGACATGATTGTTAGGCAGAGCCTCCCTTCTTTTCTTTCTTTCTTTTTTTTTCTTTTTTCTTTTTTTCTTTTTTTGAAGACGCTCTTTCTCAGTGTTGTTCTAGCTGTTCTGGAACTCACTCTGTAGACCAGGCTTGCCTAGAAATCAGAGCTTCACCTGCTTCTGCCTCCAGAGTGCTGAGATTAAAGGTGTGAACCACCACTGCCCAAAGGGAAATTGTTAAAATTAGAAGAAAATGTAGCTTGAATAACTATTTGGCCCAAATTCTTAGGGCTGAAGAACCCCTTTCCCAGCAAGCATCCTGTAGAACTAGTGTGCCAGAGGGCATATTTTGGATGTCGCTTTTCTTAGCAAGCTGTGGGCAGGGAGCCTCTCACTGATTGCATGGAGCCCCGCCTTCAGGTTATTGTGTCTTAGGCCCTATGAATAGTCCTGTTTGCCTGGTGGCTTCAAGGCTTTAAACCGTGGGGACCAGCACCAGCCCTGTTCCTTAAGCGCTATGAGCGCCCCCTGCTGGGACGTAGTGGTAGAAACACCCTAGAACTCAGGCTTTCCTGGAAGGCAATGAAGCATTTTATTTTCCACCACTCCCTCTGTGGGCAATAAGAATATCCTTATCCAGACTGGAAATAGGAAATTCTACCTGTCTGTACCTTTGATATCACTGGCTTAAACTCCTTATTAAAGACCGTCCTTTAAAAATTTTTTTAAAAAAAATTTTGTTTTTTTGAGACAGGGTTTCTTCGTGTAGCCTTGGCTGTCCTGGAACTAGCTCTGTAGACCACGCTGACCTCAAATTCACAGAGAGTTGCCTGTCTCTGTCTTCTAAGTTCCGGCACTAAAGGTGTGTGCCACCACCACCTGGCCAAAGGCCCTCCTTAAGAAGACTCATTTGGGACTGGGTAGATGGCTCAGTGGGTAAAAGTGGTCACTTCTCAAGCATGAGGGCTTGCGCTGGAATGTTCAGTATCCACACGAAAAAGCCAGGCATGGCTGCACATGCCTGGAACCCGATGGCAGAGACAGGCGGGGCCTGCTTGAGAGCTTCTTAGTCAGCTAGCCTAGCTGAAACGGTGGGCTTCTGCTTCAATGAGAGATCTTCTCCCCCACAGAAGACAGCCCTCAATTCGCTAGTAATTTTAGGCTTGTCCCTGCCTGGTGCAAAGAGGATGAGATTTAGGTTTAGGGGCCTATCCTAAGACAGCCCTAGCCCCCTAGCCCAATCCCGGTTCCAGTGTCAGAGTACAGGAGATGTGTTTTTTTTTAAAATATTTATTTATTTATTTATTTATGATATATACAATATTCTGTCTGTGTGTATGTCTGCAGGCCAGAAGAGGGCGCCATGTGGTTGCCGGGAATTGAACTCAGGATCTTTGGAAGAGCAGGCAATGCTCTTAACCACTGAGCTATCTCTCCAGCCCAGGAGATGTGTTTGCAATGACCTGAGACTCCCAGGGAGCATCCTGCCACCTTTTCCTCCAATTATTTCCTTCCTTTGCTGCCTCTATGGGCCATGAAAGCTACACAGAGTAGGCTTCTTTAAAAGGGAGAAGTGTGTGTTACACCATGCTGGGCAGGGTGATAATGATTGGCAGAGCTTGAGGGTTTCCTCTGTGGCAGGTGGGCACACAAACATGCTCTCCATCACACCGTGCCCTCTAAAAGCTCTATTATCGGTTCAAATATTTTTGGTGGCACAACCAACTGGGGGCTATTTATACACTTTCTCCCACTCAGCCTCTGCTTCCACGTTAGCCCCGTTTATCTATATTTCATGTGTTTTCTCGTGCACGTATGTCTATATGAGGGTGCTAAATCCCCTGCAACTGGAGTTACAGTTGTGAGCTGCCACATGGGAAGTGGGAATTGAACTCAGGACCTCTGGAAGAGCAGCCAGGGCTGTTTAAGCACTGAGCCATCTCCCCAGACCCACATTAATCTTTTCTAAAATAACTGAAATTCTGAAATCAGAACTCCATTTGGCCCAGTGACTCACATTAGGGCTATGGCTGAGGATCAGGTATCTAAGAGGCAAGGCAGGAGCAAGGAGCAAACTAACTTGCCCAAGGTCCCAAAATAGGCAAACGAGGATGCAGGATTCACACCCAGTATCTAATGAGCGGCCAAACGCAAGTTTTAACCACTGTACATTTTAGAAAGAAGCCACCGGAGATGTCAGGTGACTTCCCCAGATCATACAGCTATAATAAGTGACCAAATCAGTAAACCAACTTAGGGTTTTGGGTTCCCAAATCTAGAATTATTTTCACAGCTTTTATAAACCAATGGGGCAGGGGGTGGGGTTTCCCACACAGCAGACTAGCTGCCTGGCCCATCTACATTCAGTGATTTGGTTTCTTTTGGTTAACTCGAGTTTTCTTACTGGGATTGCTGTCATACAGTTACAATTAAATGGAGGTGACACCCAAGGTTACTCGTGGAATGCTCCTTAGTAGCCTCAGGACTGTCCCTGCTAACTCTAGACATTCACGTGTGCTTAGGGCGGCATCACAGAACTCCCCCGATTGTTAGAGAAGCACATTCGTCTTCATGGGGAGGGGTGGCTTGAAGTGTCATTTTCCATACGTGTATCTGACTTAGTGCTGGCCATCCCCTTACCCCTTTAACATGGTTTCACTGAACAGCTACTGGGATGGGTGTGTGGAACCGAGGTAAGATCAAGCCCTTGCCCGCAGGGAGCTCACAGCCTCAGTGGGGAAGACAGCACTTGGAGTGAAAGTTCCAGTGAGTCTAAAATCGTAATAGAGGTTTGTGCAGGGCCTGTGAGTCCTGGCTGAGCAAGGCCTAATTCTGTAAGGAAAGCTACCATAGGACACCGAGCTTCTGAGCTGCAGTTTAGCAGACAATGGGAAGTTCTGCCAGGTGCCAGGAGGGGCACAGATGTAGCTCAGGACAAGACTTCTCTACAGAGCAAGAGCTTTGTGGGATCTGATACTCTGCCTGGCTAGTCAGGAGACCACTGAGGCGGCCCCTCTCTTACTCTATAGGAAACTGAGGTAGAATGAAAGGAAGTCCCTACCCGAGGCTCCCAAGGGCTCTGTCTGTGGCAGAGCTGTCTCTCCCACCCTGTTCTGAAAAAGCACACAGGATACAGGATGCTGTACTGGCGCCAAGCAAGCCATGAGGTGTGACTTTCACACACCAAGATGCTTGAATATTGTGCAATTTGATGCAGACGACTTCCAGCTTATCTGATCTATTTCCAGAAAAGAAAAATATGGCAAAATCCCCATTCAGTCAAAATAAATAAATAAAACTAAAGCAGAAACCACAAAGAACAGGCAATCATTTCTCAGAAAATCTGACACAATTATTTGATAAACTGGTTTAATATTATTAATTTTTAATTTGGAGTCAGGCTGGGTGACCTTGAACTTCTGGTCCTCCTGCCTCCACCTCCCAATTTCTGGGATTCCAATCGCACACCTATAACTTCATGATTTTGTCGTAACAAAATCCACTTAGACTGGGTCACTTGCCCTTTGTTGCCTCTCCATCCAAAATGCTGTCATCTCTTAGAGGCCAGCACTGGCTTGGCTCTGCAGGTAGGTTCAGGACAACCTTCTGGTAGTTTTAGTGGAAGGGCTGAGGCTGCCCCCACATCACCACTCTGCTTTCTGCCACAAAGGCTGCTTTCCCTGGGTAGATGGAGAATCCCTGCTTCCACAGTTCCGTGTCACTCTGTGGGGCTGGTGCTTCCCACATGACTTACAGAAAGTCTGGTGAGTTTTACAAGTGTCCCCCATGCTTGTGGAAGTGCCATCAGCCCAGATTGTAAGCTGGTGCTTTAAGATGTTCTTGTCCTTGACACCAAAGCACATCCAGGAAGGCCTGAGCCCTGGTCACTTGAAGAAGGCCAAACTCATGTTTTTCTTCACACGGTACCCCAGTTCCAGCCTTCTGAAAGCGTATTTCCCTGATGTCCAGGTAAAGTCACACACTGTTTCAGCCTCTGTGTAACTCTCCAGCTGCTGTGTTTTGCCCAGTGTGAGGCAGGTCCTAGGTCTTCACTGCCCTTCCTTCGTGTGATTGATGGAACTGGTGCAATTTCCAGTTCTGAGACTGTCTGGAGAAAAACACGGATCTCCTTATACTACAAAAAGGTGCGTTTCAGAATGTTTAGGCCTTTGAGCAGTAGATAATCCCAGAAGTGCACGGTTAGTTTAAGTATGGGAGGAAAATGATAGTATTGGGTGGACTCTTTGGTGGGGACCTTATCAAAAATAATAAATGGGGCTGAAGATATGGTTCAGTGGTTAAGACCACTTGCTGCCCCTGGAGTGGATCCAGATTTGGTCCCTGGCACCCACATGGCAGCTCACTGCCATCTCTAATTCCATTCTAATTCATGAGATCTGATGCCCTCTTCTGGCCTCTGCAGGCACTACAAGCATATGGTGCATATACATATATGTAGTCAAAACACTCATACACATAAATATTTTTTTAATGGGGGTTGAACCCAGGGCCTTGGGCATGGCAGGTAAGAGCTCTATCACTGGGCTATAGCCCAAGCCCAAATCTTTTTTTTTCTTTTAAAGAAAAAGAATGTAGTTTAAGGAACCGAGAAAGGGACATTAACTAATGCTGACATTAGAATCAACTCTGTGCTAAAATGCTCTGTGGTGTGAGAGGCCCGGAGTGCAATCTGCCAGGCTCTGTTTTCACCGATCAGTTCTAAGCATGAAGTGCAGTTCAGTTTCCACTAGTGGTGCTGCCTCTCTACATAGAAGTTAAGATCCCTGGACCTCAATAAACCAGGCCTTCATACCCCTCAAACCAACAGAGAACAACCTTTGGAAAGCCGAGTACAAACAAACCTACAACTGAAAGAAAAGTCTCAATATTTGGTAAAAGGACTAGCAGACACGGGTCCAGGATCGCCAACTTGGTATATTTTCCAGTTCTGGAAAAAAAAAATTAAGAATCCAAGACTACTTAATGGTAAAGCATCATTCAGAAATGTATTTGACAGCTGAGTTTCTTAGAGAAAATGGATATATATATCTCGTATCCATGAAGTCTCTACAAGTCTTATCAATGAAAGGTCTCCCAAAGAGCTTTGCCTTTCTTTATGGCTTCCTGTGTCCAACATATGAACTTCCTGATACAAAATTTGAAGAGGTCCCAAGAATTTTTAAAGACCTTGGGTATCCCTTTGCACTGTCCAAAAACTTCATGTGTACAGTGGGAGCCCCTCATACCTGGCCTCACACTGTGGCAGTCTTGGTGTGGCTGACAGACCACATCAAGGCTCATACTGCCATGAAAGGAAGCGCACCTTTATTTGATGACAGGCAGCCGTGGGGAGAAGAAACTGAAGATGGAATTCTACATAATGAGTTGGCTTTGGACTACACCCCAAGATGCTCTGAGGGTTTCATGACCAGTGCTGACAGCTTTGAAGAGAAGAATGCAGAGCTGCAGTCGAAGCTGAAGGATTCATTTAAGGTCGATGCATCCAAGCTGGAGTCGTCAGCAGCAGAAAACAAAGCAGTAAACGAGCAGATTACAAGACTGGAGCAACGAAGAGAAAAAGAACCGAATCATCTGATATCACTGAAGAAACTGAAAACTTCTTTGCAAGGATATGCTCAAAAGCATAAAGCATACATGAGCGGTTTGGAATTGCATTCATCCATTCTAGACCAGAAATTGAGTGGTCTTGATAAAGAAACTGATAGAGAATAACTAGAATGTAAAACAATAAGACAGATACAGAATAAGTTCACCTACAGAATATTATTGATAACCAGAAGTACTCAGTTGCAGACACTGAGAGAATAAATCATGAAAAAAAATGAATTGCTGCAGACCATGGGATTGCCGTAACCAGAGACCTGGAGGCTGAACAACAAACGTGGACGGAGGTGAAGGGGCGACTGGAGCACAGCTAGCAGAGTACCACAAGTCGGCTACAACAGGAAAGCTTATTCCCATAGTGCTGACAATTTCAAAGGTTATGACTTCAATCCTGAAGTTGGTGGCAAATGCCTTGTTAAATACAGGGCTCAGTATATGTACCTCTCAAAGAGCTCCTGAATGAAAGAGAGGAAGAAGTGAACAGAGCTCCAATTAAAAAGATCGGCCTGGAGGATGCTTTAGAACAACCAAACACCATGAAGACAGAGCACACGTGTGAGGTGCAAAGGCTGGACGACCTTTACCAGCAAAAAGCTCAGGGGCTGAGGAAGAAGATGAGAAGTGTGCCAGCGAGCTTGAATTCCTGGAGAAACACCAGTGAACGAGGGCCTCGGGGAAGCCATGGATGCGTTACAGGCTGTCCAGGTGGAATACCAACAAAAGTTGTACTACTCTCAACTGAAGAAAGGAGAAAAGAAATAACTTACAGCATCTTTTCGAGATGATTGCTACACATGTAGGGTCCTTAGAAAAACATCTGGAAGAATGGATTGCTAAGTTGATGGAGAATATGAAAAATGCATGTCTGAAGATCTCTTGGAAAATATCAGAGATCACAGAGAAGTTTAAGAGTAACGCTGTTCTATTTAAGGCTCCTGGTGAATGAGTATAAACTAATGGTGGCTGTCTTGTATCTGTCAGACATAACATTAGCTGAAAATATTTATATCCCAAAATTATGGTAACTTGGTAGGTTAACTTTTTAGGTATAACAAACTAGTTAATAAAGTACATTAGTAAAAGATGAATAAAGCACAGTAAAGAAATGGGTAAAATGTAAGGAGCTTGGGATATAGCTCAGTGGTACAGGACATGCCTAGGATGCATAAAGACATGGGTTTGACCCCCACTCAAAATACATATAAGACACCAAACTTACAACCAGACGGCTGTGTCTCAAACCCAAGTGGAAGCACATACAGATCAAGTGTGCCGGTGAGGTAAATCAAACTGCATGTTGGAACCAACCCCTGCCTGTGCCCACAGGGGGTTTCTGAGATCCACTACTCTAAGTTGTGGGGTAAGGGCTCTTATCTCAGTCATGAAATCCCTCCAGTAGATACTGAATCATATCTGTTCTACAGCTCCAGGAGTCAGGAAACTGCTCCCTGAGCCATACCCTTACCATCCCCCTTGGCCCCTTCCTCCTCCTGTTTCTGGGACCCAACCCAAAGTCTTGCTTAGATATATGGACAAAAGCCTAAAGGTCTAGCACAAAAACTCTATTTTCTAGTGAGGGTAGGAGTTTTGAAACTGCACAGGGTTGGCCAGCACCTGTGGCTCCTTTTCCTGAAGTAAAACGGTTGGTGGTTGAAGCCATTCACATTGATCCCAGGTTGAACTGGACACTGACAGTTGTGACCGCGAGCACCCCATGGCAAATGTCTGACTTGATGAACCCCTTGTTCACACAGTTCAACCGCTGCATCACCTCCCAGATGATCAAGTGGTTCAGCAACTTCCGTGAGTTTTATTACATCCAAATGGAAAAGTACGCACGGCAAGCAATCTCAGATGGTGTCACAAACCCCAAAATGCTGGCGGTTCTCCGTGATTCAGAGACTTTTCGAGTTCTCAATACACACTATAACAAGGGGAATGACTTTGAGGTAAGTCGATGCACTGGGTCCCCTGAGATCTGTTTTCTCTGAATGGTTGGCTCTCTAAGAACGTCCCTTCTAGGTCAAATGCTGGGCTCTGCTGTAGCATCTACTTCTTGCTAGCTTTTCTGACAATTTCTGCTCTTACTAACACGTGGTTCTTGTATTTTCTCAGTTCTGTATGTGTGTCAAATGCAAATTCCTTCTGGATGTAACAAGGCTGAAGAATTCTCAAATTCTCGGGGCCTCCGTGAAGGTGCACAATGGTGCCTTAGAGCCTAAGTGGCGAGTGCCATGGGTAGCTGTTTGGCTGCTCTCTTCCTCTCCAGGGGCCCAGTGTGTCTGGTCACAGGCTGCATTGCTTTCTTCTTGCTTTTCTCACTGTGATCACAGGAGTTTATTGATCCCTTCAAGAGTGTAAGGTCTGCTGGTTTCCACAGCCAGAACATGTTGGAAACTGAAGGCTATCTATAGAAGAGGAAAGGGTTAGAGACAGCGTGAGGTGGGCAGCATGGCTCTACCCTGCCGTGTGGGGATGGTCATTTGGTAGGCATTGGCAGCAATTTCCTAACCAAGCTGCATCTGAAAGGCCTGTGGGACATCCTGTCACCTATGGTGCTGATTTGGGTGAAGGTCCTGGTCCAGCCCCTTCCAATGGCTTTGGAAACAGGGATTTAAGTCCTTGGGATCTGAGCCCTACAGGATGGAGGGTGAGGCATGACAGTCATAAACTTGAGGGCCCACCTTCTCACAACAGGTCTAGGGAAAAGAATGTTACTACCTCTTATTTCCCTTCATGTCATTTCCCACTTAGTTACGAAAACATGCCTAATCGGTGGAACCAGTAACTCCTATAAGTCTCTGATACTTGCTCCCAAGACTGCTTCCCTGGATGGTCATCTAAGTTCTGGGTTTCACTAGGGAACAGGGCAGTCCTGGGCTGCAGAACCTGGGGTGGCAGAGCAGGAATACTCTAAGCCAGCAACAGGCATCACTGCCAGAGGGCTCGCCATGGTGCCAGCTCTTCCAGCCTCAATTCTTCCTTTTCTTGGGGGTGTCTTTGGGGATGCAGGTCCCAGACTGCTTCTTGGAAATTGCCACCTTGACATTACAGGAGTTCTTCAGGGCTGTCTCCACAGGGAAAGATTCAGATCCTTCCTGGAAGAAACCCATTTACAAAATTATTTCAAAACTGGACAGTGACATCCCAGAGATACTCAAGTCTTCCAACTATGCCCAGGAACTGTTTCGAAGTTAAGATTAAAAAAATGAGGTCAAGTACAATGTCTTGTAAGGAGGGTGGAGGCAGGAGGATCAGGAATTGGACAGCCTTGGTTACACAGACAGATGATCAAACAAAATGAGAAGACTGGCCCAGGATGGCCCAAGGGTTGTCATAAATGCCAAGCTGTAGTCATGTAAGAGGGCACAAGAGGACACCTCCCATGGGTACAATTGCCATTTTGAATACTTGTTTCCTTGTCCAGAATCATCCAAGACTTAACCTTAACCATAGTGTATCCACTGAGACTATCAGTGTGTTGTGCCATTATCATCAAGTGCTGGGACACGGGTCATCCTGGTATTTCTGCAGCTCTACAAAGAGATTCAGAGCCAGGCGGTGGTGACACACATCTTTAATCTCATCACTCAGGAGGCAGAGGCAGGTGGATCTCTGAGTTTGGAGAAAGCCTGGTCTACAGAGGGAGTTCCAGGATAGCCAGGGTTACTCAGAAAAGCCCTGTTCAAAAAAAAAAAAACATATAAACAAAAACAAAACAAGAAATTTTGAACTGTGGATAACTCATTGATCCTTATGCCAGGAAACTGATTGGTCAGGAGTGTGAGGAATCAATGCTATGTAAACTGGACTTGCGCTGGGCAATTCATGCTGTCTCTCAGGAAGAAGTCATACCAACAGGGCACGTGCAGAGTGACATTTTCATCTGACAACTTTGGCACTCAGGAGTGCTTGCTTCATCATCCAAGACTTTCCCTGATGATGTCGGCAAACCCAGCACAGGCTTCCTAAGGGACCGTGGCATTGCTGCCTTTTGCATCTGTCTGCTGGGAAAGTAGGTCCTCAGAAAATCCTAACAGTCCTACTTGACCTATGCAACAAGATCCCGGGCTGCCTATGCAGACAAAAGCCGGAACTTCATGATGAGAAAGCCAGAGATCATCTGGTACACCTGTTTAACTCGTGGAGGAAACTGAGGCTAACACAGGCTGCACAGGGCCTCATAGGCCATAAATGGTATGGTTTGGACAAATGCAGAAATGGAGATTTTCCTACTCCAAAGTGGTTACAGTCCATGACAGAACTCACACGCATGAACAAATGACGTCCATTTTTTCCCTTAGGCACCTGTAAAGCTGAACGACTGTGTCATCTAGTCAGAATCAAGCTCTTACGCACTGCTGGAGTGGGCAGGCGGGCATGCTTCAGCTTTCATAGTGATGAATAAGGGGCAGCTGTGCCCACAGGGGCTCCCTTCCCCGCCATCAACACAGAACACACTCCTCATGTAGCTGCTCTGCCTTCATGACTTTACGGGTGTCGTGTTGGCTATCGCTAGACATGTTAGAACGCACCAGCATCAACAATGACTTTCCCCTGAATTTCCTGTTCAAATAGTGGAGAGAATAAACAAACCACACTTAACCAAAATTAATCCTTATAGATTACTGGTGTTTTGGGTGTTTTACTGGATATTGAACCTAGGGCCTCCTTCCCTCTTGCTAAGCATATGGTCTATCATTGAACTTCACTCTTTTGAGACAGGGTCTATGTAGTCCTAACTGTCCTTGACCTCCCAGAGATCTGCCTGCCTCTGCCTCCAAAGTGCTGGGATTAACAGTGTGCACCTCCACAGGAGGCAAGTCTCATTTTAAATGCCCCTCAATACATCTAACTATACACAACCACTGCTCTAGTTTATTGCTGCTTTCGCAAGGCTCCCTTTGATCAAAATCGGAATTTTCCAAAGCTGTTTTGAACATCAGCAAGCACTGAGTAGTCTGTGCAAGGGCACCAGTTGTTTGGAAACAGAATGACTCTCTCTCTCTAGAATGATATTACATCTATTCAAACATTAATAGGAAACAATCCAAGTCTATATATTTGTCCCTTGTCCCAAACCTGAACTTCATTAGTCTGTTTTTAAAGCTTGAGTCAAGCCATCTCCAGGGCAGTGAACTTTATCCTGAATACTAATTAGATGAAAACACACCAGCTCAAATTGAAAACGTTTGTGTACCGCAGTCATGCCAGAAAGCACTCTAACCACTGAGTTCGACACAGAAGAATGTATAAATATGTGTGCTCTGCCAGCCGAGAAACTCTTACTCCAGTTTTCTGTTCCTATCAAGTATGTTTATGTCAGTGTTGGGAGCTGAGGGTGAGTGTGAGCTGAGCCAGCTATTATGTTCTTTCATCAGTCAGAACACTGCCAAAGGTGTGGTCATCTTTTCCACTAAGGTGTATGTGGGTGCTTATCTCTCCCCAACCAGACATACTCAGGATCTGGTCAAGTACTGCATAATGCCAGAACCCTTCGATGGCAGACAACAGGCATGGGCTGTGGGGTGTGCTCAATCATCTATCAAAAGCAGGTAGTTCAGTGACGTTCTACAGGGTAACAGTTACATTAGGAACTTAGTTTATGCTGAGCCAAGTCTATGTAGCCTTGGTTGGCCTAGAATAAGTCATATAGAACAAGCTGGCTTTAAATGAGCAAGTGTTTTCCTGCCTCTCTGGGGCTTATAGGCATGCACCACCCTGCCTGACGTAAGAGCCTTTATTTCAAACATTTTTAAAAACAATCTTTTTTTTTATTTTACATACCAATCCCTGTTCCCTCTCCCTCCCCTCCTCCCACTCACACCACCTTCCCCACACCCTCCTCCCCCGTTTCTTAGAGAGGGTGAGGCCGCCCATGGGGAGTCAATAAAGTCTGTCACATCACTTCTCCATATCTAGGCTGAGCAAGTTCATGCACTAGGGATAAATACTGGTTCCATGGCCAGTGGCCCCACAAACTGCCCAAGCCACACCAACTATCACCCACAAACATTTTCATATAAAAACTCCAGACCAGACTCAAACAGTAGGAAGCCAAAAACACCTCCTGGGCATATAAGTGCCTGAATCATATTTATTGTTCACCAAAGCAAGGCCAAAACATAAATGGCAGAGATAAAACATATTCTTTAATGAAGTTGTATACCCTGGCTTTAATATGGCCATGCTTTTTCAAGTAAGGGTCTTATTGTGTAGCCCTGGCTGTCCTGGAACTCACTATTTAGATTAGGATGCCTCCCAAGTGCTGGAATTAAAAGTGTACATTGGAGGTTCATTTTCTAAATAGTCTCAGGGATAAAGATACAGTTCAGTTGAGGAGTGCTTGTCCAGCATGCACAAGGCCCTGGGTTTCAGCACTGCATAAACCTATGTGTGGTTGAACATACCTGAAAATCCCAGCACTTGGGAGCCAGGAGGATCATAAATTCAAGGCCACTCTTGGCTGCACAGCAAGTTGGAGGCCAGCTTGTTCCAGATCACCTGAGCTATATAAGATCTTGCCTCCAGCCGGGCAGCAGTGTCATGCACCTTTATTCCCAGCACTCAAGAAGCAAAGGCAGGTGAATCTCTGTGAATTTGAGGTTAGCCTGTTCTATAGAACAAATTTCAGGACAGGCTCTAAAGTTACAGCAAAACCCTATCTCAAAAAAACAAAAAACAAAAAAACAACCCCCCCCCCCAAAACCAAACAAACAAAAACCCCAAAAAGATCTTGTCTCCAAAATAAATAAAGTCCAACTAACTGCAATTTCAGTGATTTCTTGAATAGTCTAATATAGTTTGAATTTTTATAAATACCCATTCTAGTCCCCATCCCCTTTGAGGTATGATTTCTTGTTCTGTAAAGTTTGACAATATATAAATCACAAACAGAAATCAAAAATCTATTGATGTTCTCATACAAACTATGAAGCCTTGGCATACATTCCCCTACTGCAGCACGATTTCTGACACTGAGAAGGTAAGAACCCTAAAATTTGCAGTGATGGTCAGAGACAACCAACACTTTCCTGTAAGGCAGAGCTCTACCAGGCTGACTGGATGATGCACACCCACACTGAAAGATGCTCTCTAGTTCTTACCCCCTGCTCCCTTCCTGTTATTTTGAGGGGGGCTGAACCCAGGGCATCACATATGCTAAGCATACTCCCCACCACTAAGCTATACCCCATACATATTCTCTGCAGTTCCTAACTACTTTCAGATTTAATGCTTGGAGGAAAGCTTTCAATAGGCATGGCAAATATGGTATTTCTTACGAAAATGTAACATTATTCTCAATCAGATATACCATAAGTCCCAGGCTCCTGTTATCTCCACTAGTAAAACCTGCTATTGTCTGCCTTAGTTTCTCTTCCTGTTGCTGTAATAAAACAGCCTCACAAAAGCAGTGCAAGGGGAAAGGGTTTGTTCCGGCTCACAGTTCGATGGTATAGTCACTGTAGCTGGCAAGTTAAGGCGACAGGGGCTTGAAGCAGCTGGTCACATCCATCCACACAGGAAGCATAGACCCATGAGTGCTGGTACTAGGCTCTGTCTCTCCATTCAACCGTCTGGGATCCCTGCCCAGGGACTGGTACCGTTCAAATTAAGATGGATCTTCACAGACATTCACAGAGGCTAACCTTAATCTAGATAATCTCTCATGTGTCTGCCCAAAGAGCTTTCTCCTGGGTGATTCTGGAGTAATCCCTGCAGTAGATCCAGGCACCTGAACTTACATATATTTATAAAATGCTCACCTTCAGAAGTTGACTCATGGAAAGTATTTTCCAGGGTTAGATGGCACAAACCTGAATAAACAAGTGCTCAGAACAGCGATTCTCTACTGTGGATAGTGACCCTTCCTTTCACAGGCGTCACCTAAGACCATCCTGCATATCAGATATTTACATTATGATTCACAACAGTAGCAAACAAAGTTTATGAATTAGCAATAAAAATAGTTTTACAGTTGGAGTCACTACAACACGAGGAACTATATTAAAGGGCTGTAGCATTAGGAAGGTTGAATGCTCAGTCATAAAACAACTACCACCACACAGAGATGTTGGCCTCTGGGGAAGGGAGTGTCCAAGGACAGCAGAAGGAAAGAGTCCCCCAAACCTCACAGTTCTTCAGGGCCATCTCTTATAGTCTGGTTTCTCTTAAACCACAAATTTCAGAGACCTCCCACTATCCAGCTTCTTGATGCCCACAACTGCTTTGCCATGTCCAAATGCTATGTTACTCTTAAATACATGTTCTTTGTCTTGGAAATAGGTATTTTCTCGTTTCCTGGAGTGTATGGCTCACTCTCCTCTGCCGTGGAACTTCTGTCTGATACGAGAACACTTCTCTCGCTTTGCCATCTACTTTCCTCTTCAGGGTCTGACTTAATGTTGTTCCTCTTCTCTCATCTTCTCCCTCACCCAGTATCCCCAGAAACTGTGCTCGGGTACCTACCAACCGGTCTTGCATGGGTTACCTACTGTCTTGGCATCAGCTTTGCCATTTATAAAAAGCACTCATCTCCTAGTACTGCCTGCCCTAGGTTCGGGGAGAACAATGCATGTGAAATGTTTAGCACCCCTAAAATGTAAAATGCATGGTATATTCCCAGTAAATGTTAGCAGCTCTGCCATTCAGCTGTCAGATATGAGCAAAGTCATAAATTTGTACTGCTTCCCAGTGGCAAAGAATTGAGTGGCATAAGCATGTGGCATCACTGCTACAAAATCTATTTGAATCCCAGTTTTACTGTAACCATGATGTAGCATGTGCTAATGTGTACTATGTAGTGCAGAACTTGGTTTTGAAGAGATGTCAATACACTGTAAGGGTGAAGAAACGCTAAAGCCATGCATTGTAAACTTTGTGAATGTTTCTGCTTTTCCTCATTATAATACTATGTTGTGCCTGTCACTTGTTCGTTTATTCCTAAAACTTACCTTGCTTACCTTTTCTAGGACGGTATAATTCATTGCATAGCTGACATCCTTTTAGTTATAGGCTTAGTGTATTTCTAAGATTATATATAGGGGCTGGGAAGTTAACAGCACTGACTGCTCTTTCAGAGGTCCTGAGTTCAATCTCAGCATCCACAGGATGGCTCACAACTGTCTGTAACTATAGTTCCAGGGGACCTGACACCCTTACACAGACAATGCACCAATGCACATAAATAAAAAAAAATACAAATTTTCACCTTTAATAATGTCCATTAAGTAGACTTTTTTTTTGTTTTGTCTTTGCTGGTTTTTTTCAAGACGGGGTTTCTCCGTGTACCCCTGGCTGTCCTGGAACTCACTCTGGTATCAAACTCAAAGAGATCTGCCTGCCTCTGCTGGATTAAAGGCGTGTGCCTCCATGGTCTGAGTAAACTGTTTCTAACTTGAATATTTTCCTGATTAACTTCTGTAGTTATCCAAAACAAGTATACAGTCATTTCACTTGTAAAAAGCTATCTCTTTTAAAAATTTCTTTTCTTTCTTTGAGACAGGGTCTCACCATGAGGCCTGGCTGACTGGAAACGTTATAGTTTTTTTTTTTTTTTCCTTTGGAGACTGTCAGCCTATGTAGTCCCAACTTGTTAATTACAGCAGGCTGTCTCCAAACTCAA